CAAACCCAAATTCACATTTATAATATTAGTTAAGATTAACTACACCCTTCTTTTATCTATAATCTATATCACCATACATATAATAAAATTGCACGTTTCTACGGTTCTGCGTAGGTGAAGGCTTATGATGACAATTTCCTCTATTGAAGGACGTATGTGTCGAACGTATTTAAATGTCAATATTTGGCTATAGGATCATTGGTAGAGTATAATGCGAGTTGTACCTAAATGCCTGCCGATGGAATAATTAGGTTAGGTTAGGTTATCATTAGGTTACGGTATGACGGTCCATATGTCCAAATTTGGGCGAGTTACCTTTTGTTATTATAATATAACAAAATTATGTCTGTAATAAAACAACCCTCTACTTAAGGCCATATAAGTACCTAGCACCCAAGTTACATTTATAAATTACTTACCTTCCTGAATCGAAAACACTTTTGAACTTAATAGACCTTATCTAAAACGCACTGATAAAGAGACGCCAGGATCTCCTCATTTAAGTATTATTGTTTTGTAAATTGTATTATCTACATTTTTTTAATTGTTTTAGTGTTAAATGGGCTTCGATGAAACAATAAATTTAAACAGTATAATCGATAAAGAGAACTTTAGACTTAGAATAGGAATTACAAAATATTATCAGTAAAACAATTGCAATTAATAGCATCTACGAATATGCGTATGTACCTGCAGATAAAAATGCATGCCCGTGCACGTTCAAACTGGTTGATTCATCGATTTCATTGCGCAAAACGAGACTGCTGTGATATATATGCACTTGCGATTATATTCAAGAAATCGTTACTTTTGATTTTCCAAAATAGTTGCAATAAATATGTATAAACGCTGATAAACAACTTTTGTTTCGCGTATATGATAACATGAGTGCAATAGTTAGTTGATAAACTATTTATTTGCATAATGCAAAAATGATTTCGTTCGGCTATATTTTGTTTATCATCATCATCATCGTAGGGTCGTCAATCCTAAGACTGGTTTGACACGCACCTCCACTATTTCCTATCCTGAGCTAACCTTCGTACATCCCTAAAAGTAGAATATTCCACATCCTTAGCTATTAGTGGACAGTAATCTAACGTAGGTCGATCTCCACTCCTCATAACTCCCATTTTTGCTTTTAATATGTTACTAATTAGCCCTTCATGCCTAAGAATGTGTCCTACCAATCGCCTATCCCCCCATAGCGCCTTCTGCTCTCCTACTTTATCTAATGTCGGGAAAAAATGCGGATATGACAGGTTTGGTTCAGTAAATTTTCAACCAAAATAATGCGTGGTTTTAATTTTAATTGAATCAGTATATTATGCAATTAAATATCAACTGATGCTGACAATGGGTATAAAATCGAAAACGATTTTCGTAATTCTCAAAGGTGATCGCCTAAACTGCAGGTATTTTTAATGTCAACAGAAAAAAATATAGGTACAATATAAAAGTTTTAGATATAGGTTTCATAGAAAGTAAAAAGATGTTGCTCTTGGAACGACTTTTATTTTCAATTAAAATTATTGTATTTATAATGTCAACTTGGTGAAACACTTATTGGAAGAATATCCGTCATTTGCCGGATGTGATACGTTTCAGTTTCAAAAATGGACGAAATAGAAATTAGACTAACGACCCGGAAATCAGATAAACTTGACATGTTATGCTTATATGTATGTGTGTATGTCAGAGTGGTGACTTAGCCGGTTGACGACTCCTTTAATTATATTATTATTATATTGAAAAATGTTGCATTTTTGTTAACCGTATTATTAGTCATATTATCATGTAAATATCTATACCAGATAACAAAACAATTCGAAGCAGAAAGGTACGGGTCAACTTAATTACATTTGAAATATCATTTTGGGAAACTATGTGAAAATTATGAAACTGCTTTACAATTAAAACGTCTAATTAAAAGATGGAACTACTTTCAACATTCTGGATTTAACCGAAGTTTTTAATGTGTTGAGATAATTAAGTATCAGCATTCAGTTAATTACTCAGTTATAAGGTCACAGGTACAATTCGTCCAAATTTTAGAATTCGGTAGCGTGTGTGACCAAACACTGACTGACAGAATCACTAGGTTACGATAACGAAGAACGACATGATTGATGTTGCACTGATATCCTAGTGGGTGCGATACAAAATATTTTAATTTTAATGTTTCAGGTTATTAGAATTTTACTTTACAATTGTTTCGCATTTTTAGGCCTTTATTACCAATTATAACAGTGAAATTATTTATTATATTGTAACCCTACAAACTGCACAAGAACTGAATAAATATTTGGAATTCCCGTTTAAATATTATGCCAGGTAAACTTAACCATCTATTTAAGTAAATAATTGCATGGATTAAGTAAATTACCAAGCGACATGACCTAAAGGTTTATACCATTGCTTATAGCACTCAGGACACCCGTTCGATTCCCAGTCCGTCTGCCCTAGTCCAAATTTTCCTGCGGTTTCCTTGGATCACTTAGGCAAATGCTGGGGCAGTAATATTCCACAGATAATCTTTCACTCTTTTCTGTGTTCGTTTGGTCCATCTCATCTTTTTCACCCTAACCACTACCTACCCAAAAGGAGGCTGAAGGCCTTCCGCCCTAACGTCCGACGTGCCCGAAGAGGCTACCCGCCCACAGCATTAGTAGCTGGTAGGAATGAAACACCCAAAAGCTTTCTTTTTGGGTCATCATCATCATTAGGTCGTCAGTCTCAAAACTGGTTGGATAGACATTTGGGTAGAACTAGTAATTAACAATAAGTACGCTTGGTAAATGTCTAAATACAATTGTAGAGTAAAACTCTAATAAACTGAAGCATTAAAAAGCATGGTACTTTTATTTCTTTAATAAATTATAAGCGCTATGTGTCATCCATCCAAATTCATATGTCTGAAACGCTATACACCTTGGGCTTACGTTAGGCTATAAGGAGAGAGGATTTTCTGATTGCCTTGTGTAACGCGCTATGGATCTACTAAGGACTAAGCGTAGATTATGGTGGGAAATGTAGTATACCTTCTTGGTATTGATATCATCGTAATGAATCAATTAATTTTTATGAGCTGTTTCGATTATATAAAAAATATAGTATACCTTTTTCGTCAAGTAGTCAAGTAGATGTGAAAATGGATAGTTTCAATATTCTGCTCAAAGGACCCCGCTATATCCTTACGGAAAATGGCTCTCTGTCAAACTTTTTGAAACTGTCGATTTTGGTAGTTCTCGACGAGTAGATCAAAAGTCTCAATGGATGCTACCTCATAAAAAGTCATCTTTTTGAGATATGATCTCTTAAAGTTACATTCTTCCGTAAGGACTTCCAAGGTACAATTATACCTATTATACGTAGATATTGAGTACATCCAAGTATACATATAGGCATATGTTGACGTATTATACCTATGGGTATTGCATATTATGAATGTGTCATGGTTTCGAACCAGGGATGGTAATAAACTCTGCAAAAGTGTAGTGCACCTCAACGTCATAATGTACTTATGGATACAGTTGGTGTACCCTGAGGTGTAATTAGACACCAACACCTTATACGCCGCATGTGTTGGTATCTGATTGCACCTCTAAATACAATTCTTGGTCCAAAATAATTACACATCCCTAATATGCAATACACATAGTACATGTATACTTGATCGTATTCAGTACCTATAATAGGTATAATTATACCTTGCAAGTCCTTACGGAGGAATGCAACTTTAAGGGACCATATCTCAAAAAGATGAGTTTTTAAGACTTAGAGCCCATCAAGACTTTTGATCTAGATGTCGAGAATTGCCAGAATCCAATCCAGTTTCAAAGGGTTTGAGAGAGGGTCATTTTCCTTAATGATCTAGCAGGGTCCTTTTGTTGAATTATTATAGGTATTTAAGCATGAAGTGTTGACATCTAGGCAAAAGTATGCCTTTCTTATAGTATTGTCGTCATTAATGAGTAAATCCATCTTACTTATGATAAGATTTGAAAGTGAAAGGCTAAACAATTAGATTAAAAATTTAATGTTGAAATCAAGCAACGTTTTAGCCGTATTTGGACGATCCTTTGCCGGTAGTGCGTAGTGAAATTGACATTTTTTATAACTTTATAACGTAGCGCCCTCGCATTTTTAAAACTATCTTGCAGTAGATCACACGGTTGTATAAGGAACCTTTGTACAAAACTTAAACTTTACAGACTCGACGGGTCAAGTTGTGTGTTGATCGATACATCAAATTTTGAACCTCCTTTTCACTCCTTTGGGGGTTGAATTTTAAAAAGATTTTTTTCTAGAGTTCGTCTACGATATATTGTTTCATTTCAATACTTATTTTTTGCATTCACATAATTACCATAATGATATTGGTAAAACTGTTACAATAAAGCTACCTGCCGATTTAATAAATTTTTCTTCAACTAAATGAGTGAGTTAAAAAATAAAAGGGGTAGGTAATAATTATGCGATCTATTACAAGAGATAATTCTCTTGAGTAATACTCTGACGCCTACTACTTTAAAGGTTTTCGTGTGCGAGCGGCACACAGATGCACACTTTCGTAATTAGCCATTATTATAAGGAGAGGTGGACTCTCGCGACGTTTTATCGATGCCGTCGCCGACGTCAAAGTCTTCGAGACGACGTCTCATAAAAATAATCTCGATCGAAGTTAGCGAACCTTTTGCATCGGCCTGTGTATTTTAAAAGAAAGAAGAACTATCTATCGACATCGGTAAAGCACAGCATCAGCATGGCAAAGCGCAGCATGGGAAAGCGCGATGAATTTCCTCTCTCTCGGTGGCGATGTCGATGCCGATGCCGGTGATAATCCGCCGATGACGGCGACCGTGCTACCGAAGAACAAACGGACGGACGTCGAAGTCTAGACGCGCGAGCACCTCGCGGCCCGTAAAATAAAGAAAAACGAGAATTAAAGTAGCGTCGCGACGACGGACGTTAGTATATTGGAAACATTGTCTATCTACAACACATCAAGCGATTCCAAGCCCAAGTTTCTAGCGTCTGCCACCAGATGCGCCGTCGTGACCGCCTCAGTGTAGCTTGAGCTTCCTATCGGTAAACATCGCTCGAGTACGAGTTTATTGTTGCGTCCTCGTCGCCACCCGAATCCCTGCGACAGCGCGAGAACACAGTGCATTGTTGTTGAATTATATTAGTCACTCACCAACTGCGAAAGATCGATCAATCGATCGAGAACGATCGATTTGTCTCTTGCTAATAACAAGTCCGGTCACCAGCCACCGCACCGCTGATCCTGTTTGGTATTAATGGTGCAATGATAAAAGGAAAAGGAAAACAAATAATTAAATAAACGAATTGCAATTAACGTATACAATACGTATATATTTATACTATTGTACACGTGGACTTGACGGATTTCCAGTATTGGAGTCCGTCGCCGTCGTCGTCAGTCAGTCACAACGACCCCGCCGTCCGTAGTGAGACATCGCGACGCGCGCTCCTTTACCTCTTTGATCTGCAGTCGGGTATCAATCAGGAGCAATCGTTTTACTTTTCTTTCCTTTTATAAATATACCGCGTGTAGAGAGCAGTTGCCAAAAGTATTCTCGGGCTCTGATTGTCGCTTAAGTAGCATAACTGGCAGGAGTCGGTCATCTAGGATAGTGTCTTGTCTTCTTTTCTCATCTGTTCTATTGCAATTCAGAGGAAAAGTCTTTAAAGGGATGATCGTTTCGGAAAACAGTGAGATAGACGAAGAACAGTAGTGTTTGATCGGTGCGTGCGAAATGTAAACGCGTTGGATCTTTCGAACCGACGCGACGCGAATATGTGGAAAGATGATCCTGCGGGGGTTCATACAAAAGCTCGAAGGATCCAAGGACCTGGCCGGCCATTGCCAACGGGGCGCCGCTAGAACTTAGGGAACGGACTCGCGCCAATCCCTAGACATGTATGAATTATCGTTCGGAAAATGTGTATGTTTTATATTTCTAGTGATTTTAGCATTTTTGGGTTGTTCTGGTTTCCCCATAGATAGAAGACTTTCCACAATGAGCGGTGACGTTAGTGCGTGGAATTCCTATACCTCAGTTAGTGTAACAGACTCGCCTTCTGCATCATATTCTAATCATTTTCTTGAAAGACTTTTCACTACTTCGAAAAATTACCTCCGGAAAAGCAATACTGCTCCTTATAATACGTTCCAAAGCAATAGTTACGTTCGCCCATCGACCATCGGGCAAACCAGACAGCTTAGATTAAGACACCATCGAATTCGACACTCTTCCCATCAACAAATTATGAAATCTCGACATCCAGAGGCCCAAGCTACACACGTCAACGAACGACCCAAGCCTTCTGGTAAGATAGAGACATTGATCTTCCCACCACCCCTATCCAGTACCCGTGTCGTTAACGATCTCGAACCATACCGATTAACGAACGGCCCCTTATCAAAGGGTGCTACGTCATACGATGAGGATGATGTTCGCCGCATCGTGTCACGACCTCAAAGATCTTCCGATAAGAAAAGGTCAAGGAAAAGGAGCTACCGATGCCAAAGACAGGACGTGGGCCGAAAAGCCTACATTGCGAACACGGTGGTAAGGGCCAAAGCTGAAAGCATGAGCTCCAATCGCATCCACAATTATTCGGTAACGTTTCGTATACTCGAAAAATTTAAAACGCCCTTTGCCATCGACGATACATTGAGGCTGACCTTTTATAACGATACCAAGGACATGAACTGCGAATCCGAGGTCTCCGAAAGGACGCACGGTCTAGTCAAAGCGCAGATTCTTCAGTCAAAAGAGTACTTCTTGTTCCTCGACAGTGACGGCATGCATAACTACTCTCTCGTAGGTATGCCAGTGCTTAAGAAAAAAAGGATTAAGGACCGAAAAAATCGCGATCTCGAAGAGATTCGAAGGATCACCAGAAAAAATTTCGGTAAGTATCCCAATACCATCAATTTACTATTAAAAAGATGAAGTTTTCAACCTAGAACTGAATGATTTCCGATTTCATCAACGTTTGAAAGTTATCACAGTGCTTTGACTATCTAACTATAACAGATACTTTCCACATTCCAGTTATTCAATAAACGATAAGTTAAAGGTCGAAAACTTACGTTGACATCTTCCTTTTCGATTTGGAATCATAAAAATTTCTGTACTTTCTACACTTTATTTAATACCTTTCTCAAATCTCAATTCTCACAGATACTTTTTTGTCAATAATACATAAAAATAATGTCGGCCAATTTAATCTAAAATAAAATAAGGCATCTACCTATATCCATGACTGATTTACTTTTCAATTAATAAAAGGCTTCGGACAATCACTACAAAATTTCGCAACCAAAACTATTCAAAATAACATGTACTACATGAATATGTTGCTTACGAAGGGTGCACCCATTAAAAATAATGCTTGTATTAATTAAATACAAACATTCCGGTTATATAAGTTAGTCAATGTTGATTTTCATATCGCTTTATCGGTTCCCTGTACTTTACGTTTCGAGAACAAATTCCTTTCATATTGCAAAAAAGTAAATCGGTAATTTTATCAATAACACTTGTTTATAATTTTATTGCAACAATAACAACTGAAATTCATATCGAACAAATCATCTGATCAGCAAGAGCTTGTTCTGTCGTCATAATCATTTATCACTAAATTATTTAGTAACGCTCAGTGAATAGGCATTAAAATGTACTGAAAAAATATGACAAACATGCCCATAACTGTATCCTAATTTTTGTTACACTGCAATAAAAAATACGATAATGGTCCTAGATTAGAACGCGATAGTATAAATGACAAATGATGAAATTGATACTTAATAAATATTTTAGGGATATTTTAAACTAATGAAATTATATTATGAAAAATTTGATAGATTTTACATCTTGAGTAAGATTTCAAGGTATTTTTAATAGCACACCTAGAATATCTTTAGATTACTCTGAAGGAATGATCCAAGGATTTAGTGGATACAAGGTGTACAGATAGAAGTTTCNTCCTTATAAGGATCATGTTTTGAGAGAAAAATAAAGAAAACGTTATTACAATCAGTCAGTTTTATTTTTTTATCTTTAAATTACATAGCTCTGCAGTCTTTGACATTTTCACTTATTGATAATCAAATCAAAATCAACATAAATGAGGGGTTATTTAAGGAAATACTTTAATTGCGCCTTAAAAATACTTAAAATAGGTGAGATTTTTATTTGAGTAAGTATAGTAGACGACTCATTTTTCTTTTGAAGATTATTCATGCTTTTTTTTATATAATATTAAACATAAAATTACTTTTGTTATTGTTACCTAATATCACAATAGGTATAGGAACTTAATATTTAAGTAATAAACAAAACAAAATAAATCACTTTTATCTTAATTAAGAACAAATTAACTACTTCTAAACTTAATTCGTCATGTTGAATGACACTAAACTTCAACAAAAACAAAGAGTAAACTACTAATTTAACGCGCCGAACATGACCGAGCAGAGCGCGAGAACTCCCGAACGCAGTTTCGGTTTCGGTCGTAGTTTCAGCAGGTTTGCCGCCGAAACCGAAACTAAACCGAAACTCGTTTTTTTGCCGAAACTCGACCGAAACCGAACTTTCGGTCGGACACTAGTCATTAATATTGAATTTTCCCACTTTTTTCACTCCACATCCTAACGGTCATCTTTAATTAAATCTTAAAATATTGGACACGCACTTTACTTCTTTTTTTCTAACACTACACCGTATTGCTGAATACTGTTTTCAAGTATCAAGTTTCAAGTTTCCTCGAAGAAGAAATTAGTTTCCACATTGAGCTCTTTGTTGCCATGAACGAAGGAAATTTCTTTTTCACAATAATGAGTCACGATCAACCTAGATTAATCACTGCGCCACGTCCTCTTTTTTATCTTTATCGGCTTGGAATATTTGATTAAAATGTTGCTCCTCGGTGTTGCTCTGAGGTCGCCAGACCACGACCTTGCGCCCAGCCTAACTAAGTAGATGCCCGCGATTAACGATGTGTGTCGTTATTATGTGCAAATCCAATAATTGGGATTATTATCCTAGATAACTAAAGGCTGATTTACACTGTTTTTAACTTCTGGCGGCAAAAACTTTTATCAGGCACTTTTTTTTATGATGTTTTTGAAATTTCTGGAATCGAAAGCACAGATACGGCTTTGTAAAACGTTACAGGGGGATGTGTTGCGTAATATCGTATTTTTGTTAAAAATTCTAGGATAATACATAGTGATTTTCCGGTATTTTGCGCGATATTTTTAGATAAAAATGGTCACTGGAGTATTACGTAATGTTGGAGTAGTGGAGAAGGGAACGTTATAAGAGGGGAGTGGATTAACAATCTTGTATTCGAAATATGACAACTAATTCCGCGATTTCTTATTACTTTATTTTGTATTCCAAAAATAGTGACAGCGACATTTTCTAGAGCGTGTTGATAATGTCATTGTCAGTCTTATCGTTCGTTGATTTTATCTTCAAAAACGGTTGCTATATAATATTATTCCTGTAAAACAATAGAAAAATGTTTGTAACCGATTATATCTAAAAAAGAAATCGAATTACCATACGCAACATTACGAAATAAAAGAATGCTGCTAAACAACAAATTACGATCCTTGTCAACACTATAGAGGATAATCAGAAAGATACAAAATTGATTGTTATTACCTACTAACAAATTTCTCAGTAGCGGCTTGCAGTGATTCGCATAATTTCTAAATTAGTAAGTAGAATTGTTTATTTTCTGAATCGATCGTTTAATATTTTTTACTACAACTGTCCGCTATAACAGCGACGGAATTCATTTTATGATGGTTACAATTTATCACGTGAGCAAACCAAAGCAGTTGCTCAGCTGTTAAAAAACTTTTGGGTGTTTCATTCCCACCAGCCAGTAACGCTGGTGGGCGGGCTGTCCCTCCGGACTACACCGGAAGGTAGGGCGGAAGGCCCTCTTCAGCCTGCATTCAGGAATCGTGGGAATGGGTGGGTGGTGGTTCGGGTGAGAAAGATGACACGGACCAAATGAAGACAGAAAAGAATGAAAGATTATCTGTGAAATATTACTGCCCCAGCATTTGCCTAAGTGATCCAAGGAAACCACTGAAAAACTTGGACCAAGGCAGACGGACCCGGAATCGAACCGGCGTCCTCCCGAATGCTAAGCAATGGTCTAGACCTCTANTTATATTGAAAAATGTTGCATTTTTGTTAACCGTATTATTAGTCATATTATCATGTAAATATCTATACCAGATAACAAAACAATTCGAAGCAGAAAGGTACGGGTCAACTTAATTACATTTGAAATATCATTTTGGGAAACTATGTGAAAATTATGAAACTGCTTTACAATTAAAACGTCTAATTAAAAGATGGAACTACTTTCAACATTCTGGATTTAACCGAAGTTTTTAATGTGTTGAGATAATTAAGTATCAGCATTCAGTTAATTACTCAGTTATAAGGTCACAGGTACAATTCGTCCAAATTTTAGAATTCGGTAGCGTGTGTGACCAAACACTGACTGACAGAATCACTAGGTTACGATAACGAAGAACGACATGATTGATGTTGCACTGATATCCTAGTGGGTGCGATACAAAATATTTTAATTTTAATGTTTCAGGTTATTAGAATTTTACTTTACAATTGTTTCGCATTTTTAGGCCTTTATTACCAATTATAACAGTGAAATTATTTATTATATTGTAACCCTACAAACTGCACAAGAACTGAATAAATATTTGGAATTCCCGTTTAAATATTATGCCAGGTAAACTTAACCATCTATTTAAGTAAATAATTGCATGGATTAAGTAAATTACCAAGCGACATGACCTAAAGGTTTATACCATTGCTTATAGCACTCAGGACACCCGTTCGATTCCCAGTCCGTCTGCCCTAGTCCAAATTTTCCTGCGGTTTCCTTGGATCACTTAGGCAAATGCTGGGGCAGTAATATTCCACAGATAATCTTTCACTCTTTTCTGTGTTCGTTTGGTCCATCTCATCTTTTTCACCCTAACCACTACCTACCCAAAAGGAGGCTGAAGGCCTTCCGCCCTAACGTCCGACGTGCCCGAAGAGGCTACCCGCCCACAGCATTAGTAGCTGGTAGGAATGAAACACCCAAAAGCTTTCTTTTTGGGTCATCATCATCATTAGGTCGTCAGTCTCAAAACTGGTTGGATAGACATTTGGGTAGAACTAGTAATTAACAATAAGTACGCTTGGTAAATGTCTAAATACAATTGTAGAGTAAAACTCTAATAAACTGAAGCATTAAAAAGCATGGTACTTTTATTTCTTTAATAAATTATAAGCGCTATGTGTCATCCATCCAAATTCATATGTCTGAAACGCTATACACCTTGGGCTTACGTTAGGCTATAAGGAGAGAGGATTTTCTGATTGCCTTGTGTAACGCGCTATGGATCTACTAAGGACTAAGCGTAGATTATGGTGGGAAATGTAGTATACCTTCTTGGTATTGATATCATCGTAATGAATCAATTAATTTTTATGAGCTGTTTCGATTATATAAAAAATATAGTATACCTTTTTCGTCAAGTAGTCAAGTAGATGTGAAAATGGATAGTTTCAATATTCTGCTCAAAGGACCCCGCTATATCCTTACGGAAAATGGCTCTCTGTCAAACTTTTTGAAACTGTCGATTTTGGTAGTTCTCGACGAGTAGATCAAAAGTCTCAATGGATGCTACCTCATAAAAAGTCATCTTTTTGAGATATGATCTCTTAAAGTTACATTCTTCCGTAAGGACTTCCAAGGTACAATTATACCTATTATACGTAGATATTGAGTACATCCAAGTATACATATAGGCATATGTTGACGTATTATACCTATGGGTATTGCATATTATGAATGTGTCATGGTTTCGAACCAGGGATGGTAATAAACTCTGCAAAAGTGTAGTGCACCTCAACGTCATAATGTACTTATGGATACAGTTGGTGTACCCTGAGGTGTAATTAGACACCAACACCTTATACGCCGCATGTGTTGGTATCTGATTGCACCTCTAAATACAATTCTTGGTCCAAAATAATTACACATCCCTAATATGCAATACACATAGTACATGTATACTTGATCGTATTCAGTACCTATAATAGGTATAATTATACCTTGCAAGTCCTTACGGAGGAATGCAACTTTAAGGGACCATATCTCAAAAAGATGAGTTTTTAAGACTTAGAGCCCATCAAGACTTTTGATCTAGATGTCGAGAATTGCCAGAATCCAATCCAGTTTCAAAGGGTTTGAGAGAGGGTCATTTTCCTTAATGATCTAGCAGGGTCCTTTTGTTGAATTATTATAGGTATTTAAGCATGAAGTGTTGACATCTAGGCAAAAGTATGCCTTTCTTATAGTATTGTCGTCATTAATGAGTAAATCCATCTTACTTATGATAAGATTTGAAAGTGAAAGGCTAAACAATTAGATTAAAAATTTAATGTTGAAATCAAGCAACTTTTTAGCCGTATTTGGACGATCCTTTGCCGGTAGTGCGTAGTGAAATTGACATTTTTTATAACTTTATAACGTAGCGCCCTCGCATTTTTAAAACTATCTTGCAGTAGATCACACGGTTGTATAAGGAACCTTTGTACAAAACTTAAACTTTACAGACTCGACGGGTCAAGTTGTGTGTTGATCGATACATCAAATTTTGAACCTCCTTTTCACTCCTTTGGGGGTTGAATTTTAAAAAGATTTTTTTCTAGAGTTCGTCTACGATATATTGTTTCATTTCAATACTTATTTTTTGCATTCACATAATTACCATAATGATATTGGTAAAACTGTTACAATAAAGCTACCTGCCGATTTAATAAATTTTTCTTCAACTAAATGAGTGAGTTAAAAAATAAAAGGGGTAGGTAATAATTATGCGATCTATTACAAGAGATAATTCTCTTGAGTAATACTCTGACGCCTACTACTTTAAAGGTTTTCGTGTGCGAGCGGCACACAGATGCACACTTTCGTAATTAGCCATTATTATAAGGAGAGGTGGACTCTCGCGACGTTTTATCGATGCCGTCGCCGACGTCAAAGTCTTCGAGACGACGTCTCATAAAAATAATCTCGATCGAAGTTAGCGAACCTTTTGCATCGGCCTGTGTATTTTAAAAGAAAGAAGAACTATCTATCGACATCGGTAAAGCACAGCATCAGCATGGCAAAGCGCAGCATGGGAAAGCGCGATGAATTTCCTCTCTCTCGGTGGCGATGTCGATGCCGATGCCGGTGATAATCCGCCGATGACGGCGACCGTGCTACCGAAGAACAAACGGACGGACGTCGAAGTCTAGACGCGCGAGCACCTCGCGGCCCGTAAAATAAAGAAAAACGAGAATTAAAGTAGCGTCGCGACGACGGACGTTAGTATATTGGAAACATTGTCTATCTACAACACATCAAGCGATTCCAAGCCCAAGTTTCTAGCGTCTGCCACCAGATGCGCCGTCGTGACCGCCTCAGTGTAGCTTGAGCTTCCTATCGGTAAACATCGCTCGAGTACGAGTTTATTGTTGCGTCCTCGTCGCCACCCGAATCCCTGCGACAGCGCGAGAACACAGTGCATTGTTGTTGAATTATATTAGTCACTCACCAACTGCGAAAGATCGATCAATCGATCGAGAACGATCGATTTGTCTCTTGCTAATAACAAGTCCGGTCACCAGCCACCGCACCGCTGATCCTGTTTGGTATTAATGGTGCAATGATAAAAGGAAAAGGAAAACAAATAATTAAATAAACGAATTGCAATTAACGTATACAATACGTATATATTTATACTATTGTACACGTGGACTTGACGGATTTCCAGTATTGGAGTCCGTCGCCGTCGTCGTCAGTCAGTCACAACGACCCCGCCGTCCGTAGTGAGACATCGCGACGCGCGCTCCTTTACCTCTTTGATCTGCAGTCGGGTATCAATCAGGAGCAATCGTTTTACTTTTCTTTCCTTTTATAAATATACCGCGTGTAGAGAGCAGTTGCCAAAAGTATTCTCGGGCTCTGATTGTCGCTTAAGTAGCATAACTGGCAGGAGTCGGTCATCTAGGATAGTGTCTTGTCTTCTTTTCTCATCTGTTCTATTGCAATTCAGAGGAAAAGTCTTTAAAGGGATGATCGTTTCGGAAAACAGTGAGATAGACGAAGAACAGTAGTGTTTGATCGGTGCGTGCGAAATGTAAACGCGTTGGATCTTTCGAACCGACGCGACGCGAATATGTGGAAAGATGATCCTGCGGGGGTTCATACAAAAGCTCGAAGGATCCAAGGACCTGGCCGGCCATTGCCAACGGGGCGCCGCTAGAACTTAGGGAACGGACTCGCGCCAATCCCTAGACATGTATGAATTATCGTTCGGAAAATGTGTATGTTTTATATTTCTAGTGATTTTAGCATTTTTGGGTTGTTCTGGTTTCCCCATAGATAGAAGACTTTCCACAATGAGCGGTGACGTTAGTGCGTGGAATTCCTATACCTCAGTTAGTGTAACAGACTCGCCTTCTGCATCATATTCTAATCATTTTCTTGAAAGACTTTTCACTACTTCGAAAAATTACCTCCGGAAAAGCAATACTGCTCCTTATAATACGTTCCAAAGCAATAGTTACGTTCGCCCATCGACCATCGGGCAAACCAGACAGCTTAGATTAAGACACCATCGAATTCGACACTCTTCCCATCAACAAATTATGAAATCTCGACATCCAGAGGCCCAAGCTACACACGTCAACGAACGACCCAAGCCTTCTGGTAAGATAGAGACATTGATCTTCCCACCACCCCTATCCAGTACCCGTGTCGTTAACGATCTCGAACCATACCGATTAACGAACGGCCCCTTATCAAAGGGTGCTACGTCATACGATGAGGATGATGTTCGCCGCATCGTGTCACGACCTCAAAGATCTTCCGATAAGAAAAGGTCAAGGAAAAGGAGCTACCGATGCCAAAGACAGGACGTGGGCCGAAAAGCCTACATTGCGAACACGGTGGTAAGGGCCAAAGCTGAAAGCATGAGCTCCAATCGCATCCACAATTATTCGGTAACGTTTCGTATACTCGAAAAATTTAAAACGCCCTTTGCCATCGACGATACATTGAGGCTGACCTTTTATAACGATACCAAGGACATGAACTGCGAATCCGAGGTCTCCGAAAGGACGCACGGTCTAGTCAAAGCGCAGATTCTTCAGTCAAAAGAGTACTTCTTGTTCCTCGACAGTGACGGCATGCATAACTACTCTCTCGTAGGTATGCCAGTGCTTAAGAAAAAAAGGATTAAGGACCGAAAAAATCGCGATCTCGAAGAGATTCGAAGGATCACCAGAAAAAATTTCGGTAAGTATCCCAATACCATCAATTTACTATTAAAAAGATGAAGTTTTCAACCTAGAACTGAATGATTTCCGATTTCATCAACGTTTGAAAGTTATCACAGTGCTTTGACTATCTAACTATAACAGATACTTTCCACATTCCAGTTATTCAATAAACGATAAGTTAAAGGTCGAAAACTTACGTTGACATCTTCCTTTTCGATTTGGAATCATAAAAATTTCTGTACTTTCTACACTTTATTTAATACCTTTCTCAAATCTCAATTCTCACAGATACTTTTTTGTCAATAATACATAAAAATAATGTCGGCCAATTTGTTCTAAAATAAAATAAGGCATCTACCTATATCCATGACTGATTTACTTTTCAATTAATAAAAGGCTTCGAACAATCACTACAAAATTTCGCAACCAAAACTATTCAAAATAACATGTAGTACATGAATATGTTGCTTACGAAGGGTGCACCCATTAAAAATAATGCTTGTATTAATTAAATACAAACATTCCGGTTATATAAGTTAGTCAATGTTGATTTTCATATCGCTTTATCGGTTCCCTGTACTTTACGTTTCGAGAACAAATTCCTTTCATATTGCAAAAAAGTAAATCGGTAATTTTATCAATAACACTTGTTTATAATTTTATTGCAACAATAACAACTGAAATTCATATCGAACAAATCATCTGATCAGCAAGAGCTTGTTCTGTCGTCATAATCATTTATCACTAAATTATTTAGTAACGCTCAGTGAATAGGCATTAAAATGTACTGAAAAAATATGACAAACATGCCCATAACTGTATCCTAATTTTTGTTACACTGCAATAAAAAATACGATAATGGTCCTAGATTAGAACGCGATAGTATAAATGACAAATGATGAAATTGATACTTAATAAATATTTTAGGGATATTTTAAACTAATGAAATTATATTATGAAAAATTTGATGGATTTTACATATTGAGTAAGATTTCAAGGTATTTTTAATAGCACACCTAGAATATCTTTAGATTACTCTGAAGGAATGATCCAAGGATTTAGTGGATACAGGGTGTACAGATAGAAGTTTCCCTCTAGCTATAGAGTGACTGATTGGAACAATAAATTCTATGTGTATTTTTTAATAAATTAATCAGATAAAAGTAAAATTAAGAACCTGTTTTTATTTTTAATTGATTTCAGAATTATACAAACAACTTATCAGATTACTCACGATGTTAAAAATAATAAAAGCTATTTTTATTAAAAAGTATCAGTACCAATTAGTAATCTCTTTATAGCTATTTAAAATATCTACCTTCGGATTTAAGATTTTGGACAACTTACGAAATTCATTTGCACAAATTACAATAACTTCTTCAAAAACGATGTGCATACTTCACGAAATGTCTAAACAGTTCATACAATGTCGGGCTATCATTAAATTGTCCTAGTTGTCTGGGCATTTTATAAATTATAAATTTATTGGCATATACTCTTCCAATCGTCTGTTAGTCCGGGCATTTTATGAAATGACCAACAGTGCAATAGTTCAATCGATGATACATTTTCTAAAAGATAAGAGGATCGGTTAAACGCATCGCGACTAGTACTAGAATTGAAATGCTTCTTATGTTCTATACGCGTTATAAATGTGACCATTGAGTTAACATGAAAGCGCAATTAAATTGACTGTTTTAGCCCGCACTTCCTCACGTGATACGCGTACCTACCTACATACTTACATACATTTACGTGTAGGTACAACATTTATTACATACATGCATAATACTCAGAAATACATTACCGATGATTCTAGGCGACCCAGAATTATTCTTCTGAGATGAAATGGCACGCTGACGTAACAAATGACAGCACATACTTACGCATGTCGTTTCAGATGAAAATTTTCAAACTGTCGATGATATTCTGTCACGGTATCGAACATATGGCTATATGTTTACATCGTCGCGCTCTACTATAGGGTATAGTGTGTCTGTTAAAGGATAATAATCATGCGTGTGTATACCGAAGTAAGTGCAGAGCAAAACGGAAGATAATTCGGTTAACGTTTATTTACCATTCGATATTTTGTAGTTCGTATATTTCGAATTTAATTTTGGCTTTGCTAGGAACCCTGTGTTACATGAAATTTCTGTTTATCGAGATTCTGGATAATACTTTCACAAAACAGCGATAGAAACTTAATAGGACTTTCAGAATTTCCTCTAGTAGGTAACTATAAAACTATAAGGTTCCAATATTTTCGTAGAAAATTTTAAGTAAATTTTTTTGAAAATCTGCGTTTCTCTATATGTTTAATACATAATACACTTTGAACAAGTAGCGGGTAAAGTTACGTCAATTGACTTTTAAGCCTCAATTTAAAAGAAAAAAGGGTCATTAATAGTGTCCGACCGAAACTGGTTTTTACGACCGAAACCGAATTTCGGCAACGGTCTCAGTTTCGGCCAAAACCGAAACTTCCTTATAAGGATCATGTTTTGAGAGAAAAATAAAGAAAACGTTATTATAATCAGTCAGTTTTATTTTTTTATCTTTAAATCACATAGCTCTGCTGTCTTTGACATTTTCACTTATTGATAATCAAATCAAAATCAACATAACAACCCCTCATTTAAGGAAATACTTTAATTGCGC